AAGTTGTACACATCTTTTGATAGCGTAGATTTTTGCCTGTAGAATGCTAGGGTAGGTCCCCATTGGTTCGGAGTATTTAGTTCTCGACCCCACTACTCCCATCCCTGTTCCCGCATTGGTTTTGGAAGCATCAGTATACCTAGTTATGATATGGTCTTTTAACTGCTGGGCAGACGTTTCTCTCTTCCAATCCTTTTTATTGCTCAATACTACATTGAGATGTTTTTTGTTTATGTTACATAGGTTTGAATTTAAAATAACAATAATTTGAAAGATTTTATGACAATCAGAAATAATTATTTTTTCTGACCGCCCATTTTGATATCCAATCGGTTTATTTAGACAAATCGAATATGTCGACTTTCCTTAGCCTATAAACCAAATTTCAGCTTTCAATATGCCGAGTTTATGATTTAACCAACGCTTATTCATGGTCACGTTTTGTCAATCTTACACCTGTTTAATTTTTTATCTCAAAAACTATTAGAGATAGGTATAGGGTAATATAATAGAAAAATTATGAGATATGAAAGTAGTTTCAAAAAATATAATAACATATCGGGTGTTCCGTTTAAAGTAACAAAGATGCTACCACTTTTATTATGAAGCGGGAACACTGTAATGCTGAAAATAATTTAGACAGTTGGAACAGGTACCTTTTGCAAAAATCTAAATTTTAAAAAAATCCTTTCACTGGTTCTCCGTAGACGTCTAACATGCCATCGCTGTGAATCACCTTGTATAGGCCCTCGTCAATTTAGACAAATCAGCGCCAGCGAAGCGAGACAAAACCAATCGAGTGTAACTATAAATTACAAAAGCCAGATCAATAGGAAAAAAGAACCGGAAGAAACTGGATCTTATCTCTGTTAATATTGTCTTTACATTTATTTACTTTTGTGCTTTCATATACATCTAATTGCCTGTAAGTAATCTGAACCGCATTTAACTAATTTCAAATTATTAGTGATCTTTAATGAAGATTATGTTGAAGACCTCAATATTTCTGTCTAAGCCAGAACAACGTTCTAGATATAATTCGTCCACTCAGTATTTTTTAATTATAAATGGAGAATCACAGAGAGTGTGATGGCGCAATTTGGATAACGAGGGATTTAGTTAAAATTTGTTTTTGCAACTAATTTACGTTTAAAGGAGATAATTTCATTAAAAATTTGGCAAGTATCCTAGAGTGTAGCAGCCAACTTCCATATTTTTCGCACTGCATCTGAAAGTAATTATAAATCATTGAATTAAAATACTAATGAAGGAGTGAAATACTAATTTTATCTCCATAAATTAAATTTAAACAACCTTGTTTTTTTATTTTTCTGGCCATATTTTAATTTTTGTTAGAAAACAGTAAAAAAATAAGCAATCCCATCAAAAACATAGAATGTAAAAAATGCCAAGTCTCGCAACACAGTTCTTCTACTATAAAAAGTTGTGAGATCTCATGTAAAATCAAGTCAGTTTATTTTATTTAGTTTCTCTTTAAGCCCCTATTCAACAATTTTGTTACAAATTGTTGGTACCAATTTTAGACCTTTATTTCTGTAATAATTATTATAACGACTTTTGTGGCAATTGCACAGTATGATATTCTCTACTAATTAAAAAACTTTGGGGCACTATTGAGATTTACTTAGTAATCGAAAAGGTAGATTCTTTTATAATTATTGTGCCGTGCAATTGCCAAGTCATTATAATTATTACAGAAATAAAGATCAAATGTTGATACTAACAATTTGTAACAAAATTGTTGAATAGGTGCTTAAAGAGAACCTAAATAAAATAAACTGACTTGGTTTTACATGAGATCTCACAACTATTACTATATATAATTATAGTAGAAGAACTGTGTTGCGAGACATGGCATTTTTTACATTCTATGTTTTTGATGGGAACTAATTTCTTTTTGTAGGTTATCCACCTACTTTTTTCTCGTTTTTTTCATTGAAAATAATATTAAATAAGTTTGTCTAGCAATAATTATTCCTAAACTAGTTTTCTAACGACTTGTTTTTCCGACTTTCGTTATAACTCAAATTTCAACTTTAAAAACGTTCAATTCATGATTTTACCAATGCTTATCCAAAATCAAGATCCAAAATCATGTTTTTGTCAATTTTACACGTATGGTATTCTTATCTCTAAAACTATAAGAGATAGGTATTGGTTAGCATAATAGAAAAATTATAGGATATGAAAGTAGTTTTCAAAACTGTAATAATATATGGGAGTTCCATTAAAATAACAAAGATGCTACCATTTTTCAAATGATCCGGCAACACTGTAACGCTGATAATATTTTAGATAGGTAGAGCAGGTGCCTTTATATAAAAATCCAAACTTTCAAAACTATCCGGTTTTCCTATTGCCCTCACCGGAAAGTCAGTTATCGGTAGCGGGTAGACAGCTAACTTTTGATCCATAAGGATATTTTGACATTTATGTATTTTTTTCTTCCATTATCAGCTTAATGCTACCTAAAATTCAAAATTTGTAACAAACTAAATAAATAAATAAAATAAATAATTTATTAAATTTTTAAGACATGTTTTACATGTATAGATTAAGTCTACAAAATCAGTACGTATAATATTTAATACTTAAATTTGTATAACAATATTCATATTAAAAATACATAATATATATAAAGGAAATTGTTGCGATAAATTTAAATGTCTCTACTATAAGCATGGTATTCCTCCAGACTATAAAAAACTTCGTCAACCAGAAAATTCCTCAATTTGTTTATAAATATCTTTGGTTCGGATATTTGCCTAATTGTAAGAGATAAGCCATTGTACAATTTCACACCAATATAATACACATTACTTTCCACTGTTGTTAAAGAATGTATCGGATATATCAGGTTACTGCGACGTCGAGTTGAATAATCATGAAACTGTTTATTTTGAGAAAATTTTTCAAAATTATTCCTGACCAACATCAATACCTCAAACATATATAAAGACGGCACAGTTAACATACGAAATTTTTTTTTAAAAAATGGCGACAGGTAGACATTCTACTAAAACCAGAAATTGTTCTGACTATTCGTTTCTGAAACACTCACAGTATATGCGAAGAATTGCCCCAAAAAACTATTCCATATTTCACTCGACTATAGAATTGGGCATAATAATATGAACAAATAACTTCAATGACTCCCATCTGTTTTAATCTGTATATAGCATAAGAAATTGATGTTAATTTTTTACACAGTTCATTAATGTGAACATCCCAAGAAAGCTTATTGTACAAGTGTACACCCAAAAATTTAACATGCTCTTCTTGTCTTCTTGTTATCGATTTACCGTTTAGTTTAATTAAATATGATTCATTTATAGTACGTGTAGAGGGTGTAAAGATAACAAAGCTACTTTTTTGTGCATTCAGGAACAATTTGTTAGTGTAAAACCAATTATAAAATTTAGAAAGCATATCTTGTGTTATTGAAACTGCTCTATTGATATTCTCCCCTTAAGCCATGTAACTGGTGTCATCCGCAGACATGACAATACTTCTATCACCACATACTTCCGGTAAATCATTAATAAAAATCAAGAATAAGAGAGGACCCAGGACTGATCTCTATGGTACACCACAAGAGATTTTCAGTTGCCCAGATCGCGCATCTCCAATCTCCACCATCTGCTGATGGTTAGACAGATAAGACTTCAACCATTCGTGCATTTTACCCCACAAGCCACAATCACAAAGTTTCGACAAAAGTATTAACGGATCCACCAGATCAAAAGCCTTACTGAGATCCATAAAAAGACCGATGCACTTCGAGCGATCATTCCGTTTCTCGTATAAATCATTCAAAAATTCGCATATTGCAGTATGAGTAGATCTACCTTCGCAAAAACCATGCTGAAATGAACTTAATATGTTATATTTTCGAAGAAAATCCATAATTTGTCCATAAACTAACTTTTCTATTATTTTGAAAATCGTTGGCAAAGTTACTATAGGTCTATAATTTTCAATATTAAGGGGATCACATGTTTTAAATAACGGAACTATTTTAGAGATCTTCAAAGCTTCAGGAAAGATAGCTACCTCAAACGACCAGTTTATGAGATAAGTCAACGGAATTAGTAATAAATCGACAACTCGCACAGAAACTTTGATTGATATTAGGTGCTTGAAATACAGTAGTAACACTTCATAGAAAAAGTTCTAAGGTCCTAGAAGTACCTTAGAATATTGATGACGGTCGTCACTGTCGAAGTTTGAGTGGCATAAACTTATAATCCTTGAATTATTGTTGTTACGTTCATATACAAATAAAATCAGAAGAGACCGCTTCGCTTAATTCTAGTTTTCTACCTTTTTTCGACTGGAAAGTCAGTTACCGGCGGCGGCTAGAGAGCTAACTTTTGATCCATAAGGATATATATATTCTCCTTATATTCCATAAGGAGATTTTTATTTTTTTCCTTTGATTAAAAGCTTAAAGATACCTAAAATTCAAAATTTGAAGTTTGTGACACATCTAGAAGTACCTTAGAATTTTGATGATATATCAGTGAGTTAATGTCGAAATTAAAGAAATTCGACAAGCGATAATTCATAAACTATGTGGTATAATTACTAGATATTTTGGTAACTTAGCCAGCTATAATATGTCTTCATGTTTAGTAAAAATTAACATACTTGCTTTACAAAACGAAGTTACAGGGTGGTCAAAAGTGCCGCTAATACCTTCGAGAAAAGGATGGTATCGCTATCCTCCACTTGGCGAGGGCACTGCCGATGCCGTGCCTCCAAATATGACAAAACCTTTACGATTATGAAATAATGGATGAATTCGGGTATTTCTTATTACTGAGTCTGAACCGTCCTAGAACTCTACAGCGCGTACGAAGATAAAAAAAATTGCCGCATATTTTCTTCTGCGCATGCGTATTACAGTTCTAGGACCGTTGAGCATCAGTAATAAGAAAAACTCGAAGTAAGGTACTTAGTGAAATTTTTTCTTGTAGCTTTACCATGCGCTTTAGTATGTTCCAATCCCCAAGTAGGAAAAGTAGTATTATCAAACGTAGCCAAAGATGGCAGTATATGCAATCCCGGAACAAGAGATATTTGCATAAAGGGAATTTGTACGGTATGAATAATATGCTATAATTTGCTTCAGAGTCATTTCTTGATGTTCATAATTCATTTTAGCCCGTTGGATGCGATCATAAATTAAATTCGGATGCTATCGAAGATAGATGCGGTATCTGTAATGGAGATGGAACTCAATGCAAATTTGTGGAGGGGACTTTTGAAAATGAAATAGGACGTTGTATGTATAACTTGAAATTAAATTTTTATTGATACATCATCAACCTATGCAATTTTAATTATCATTGTCATATATCTCATTATGACGAATGTTGTTTTATTGATGCTCAAATAGGGCCTTTGACTAAAGTATTAAGGAAGACGTATAATGCTATCCACGCATTCGGGCATTAGAGACGGAATCGACATTATAAGCCCCCATTTTTGACAGTTCCCTTTGACATTTCAATTGATATTTTCGAATTTCATTTGAAAATGTTGTGCTTTTCTTAGCTTCTTCTGTGTTATTTTTTGTAAAGTTGGTTTTGTTTAGAAGTACTATATACACTCACCGGCAAAAAAAACCGGCCACTAAAAACTAGTCCCAATTTCAAAGTAGAGTCTCGCGAACCACTCATTAGATTTTGATGATTTTTTTTTAAATTGTAAATTAATTCCTTCTTAACGGATGCTACGTCAGAAATTTTTATTCTGAATTTATTTTGAGCATATACAGGGCACAATAATAAGACGAAGTTTTTTGTCTGAACTTTGTAAGACCCTGTAGGGTGCAGCAGCTTTAGTAGCTATTGCTAAATTAGTGATTTGTCACATTGTAGCATCATCTTTTGTGGGCATTTTGTTATTTTAATCACGACATTATCTCTGTTTATATTGGAGATATGCTGCTTTAAAACGAACGTCTCGGAAAAATGCTTTGCAGACAAAACCGTGATTCATCCGTGAAAAGGACTTTAATTCATTGCTCAATATCCTAGTTCACTTGTAAACGCGGAAACTGAAGACGTACTCGGCGATGTGGAAGTAGCTGAGGTCCTGTGGCAGGCCTCCTTGCAGACAAGCTATTTTCTTTTAGTCTTCGTCGGATTATTCTCTAACTGACTTGAGTTTTACGCACGACTTGTAGCAGATGTTGATTTTGAAACGCTGTAATTCTACGATTTCGTAAAATATTCGAGACAATAAAGCGGTCATCAGTTGTATTTTTCTTCCATTTTTTTCCGGAACCTATTCGCCTGGTGAAATTTACCGTTTCCATATACCGATTCCAGGCATCCTGGACTGTTGTTCGAGGTATACCTTGGGTATCGGACACATAACGTTGACTTCGGCCATCCTCAATTAAAGCCACAATACGAGCAACATCCGTCACAGATAATGCCATTTTTTAATTTGACAACCGTTGTCATATTACAAATACTCATAAATCCGTTTTCGCCTATGTCGCCTTGATTATTTACACATAAAACTTTCTGCCTGCGAAGCATTTTTCCGCGGCGGCGTATCTCCAATAGAAACAGAGATAATGTCGCGATTAAAAAAAAATGCTCACAAAAGATGAGGCTAGAATGTGATTTGATTTAGCATTAACTACTACAGCTGCTACACCCCACAGGGTTTTACAAAGTTCGGGCACAAAACTTCGTCTTATTGTTGTGCCCTGTATATGCTCAAAATAAATTCGGAATAAAAATTTCTGGCGTAGCATCCGTTAAGAAGGAATTAATTTACAATTAAAAAAAAACCATCAGTGGTTCGCGAGAAATCCAACTTTAAAATTGGGACTAGTTTTTAGTGGCCGGTTTTTTTGCCGGTGAGTTTAGAAAGATTTTCTCTCGGAACTTAAATTAATAGCCTACATTATTGTGAATTCCAAAAAAGACTGTACAAGAGTTAGTTCTGCAGTGTGTGGTAGATCTCGGTCACAAATCTAAAATGTGAAATAAATAAAATCTAAATGAATAAGAGAATACTTTTCACTGATAGGTAAATATATAATACACGTTTAACTAACAAATTTACTGAAACATTTACTGACAACGTAAAACAAAACCAACAAGTCATTGAGTCTAAATACAACATAAAAATTTAAGTTGGTGAGGCTAAGTAAAGAATCATAAACTGGATAGGTTTCACAGGGCAATACTTACCTTACGCTTATAATCAAATATATTGGTCAGTTCAAAGTTACCCAATTTTATGATGAGATCATAAATTCAAAACTAAAATATAAACAAACAATGTTATCAGTATTGAGAAAAGGTTGTCTAATTATGATTATTGTTAGTTTCCAGTAGTTAATATCCAGAAAAAAAATCGTGGATGTTTGGGAAGGCTTGAAAGGAAACAATGTTTTTGTGACGTTTCGCGACTTTATTGTCGCTTCTTCAGGAACTATAGGAGAAGCAGCTTTTTTAAAAATATTAAAATAAGATTAACTGACCACTTACCCAAAACATATATTAATCCACAATATGCCTACAGACATTCATGGCGATTCCAACCGCCAACACTAAGACACATACAGACGAATCGAACAGAAATTTAACAGGTATTTTTTGGCCCGATATACACCGAAGCTCGGTTTGTGTCGTACTGACACCAGAATTTCGGTACCAAAAAAAGGATTGATTTTTTGTTTCCTTTATCGTTAATTACTTTCCCCGTGTCTCTGGTTGCTCTTAGTCGAGTCCTAGTCAATTCCCTATATGTGCAGGTCGGTCGACATCGCCATAAACAAACAAACGGAATCATACTGTGGGCCCGATAGTAATCAAAATTAAATATTTTTTTTTAAATTATTTGTCAACAAATAAAAGATAAAAGACTAAAAAAATATTAAAAATTAAAGAAACATAATATAAAAGAAGCAAAACATACGTTTAGTTTTCATTGGATTTTAACTAAGAGCAACCAGAGACACGGGGAAAGAAATTAACGATAAACAAAAAATCAATCCTTTTTTTGGTACCGAAATTAATTTAACTGGTGTCAGTACGACACAAACCGATCATCGGTGTATATCGGGCCAAAAATTACCTGTTAAGTTTCTGTTCGATTCGTCTGTATGTGTCTTAGTGTTGGCGGCTGGAATCGCCATGAATGTTTGTAGGCATAATGTGGATTAATATATGTTTTAGGTAAGTGGTCAGTTAATCTTATTTTGATATTTTTAAAAAAGCTGCTTCTCCTATAGTGCCTGAAGAAGCGACAACAAAGTCGCGAAACATTGTTTCCTTTCAAGCATTCCCAACCACCCACGATTTTTTTTCTGCAGGTTGTCTAATGTTTATGTAGGTTTCTAAAGCCATAGTTTCTAAGTCCAGTTGACTCAAAATGACCATCATCGATATTCACCATATAATATTACATATAAAACAACGGTTGCGATAGTATGGTATATCATACTGTATATTTCGTCATATAAACTCTTCTAGCACTTTATTTATACATTTTAATGTCATGACTGAAGGTTTTATTAATAAAATAAGCAACGTATCATAGAAAACTTCACCGTTCTTTTAGAATTATTCATAATATTTTGTTTTAGTAAATTCTGCGAAGACAGTAGTGACGATACCGGCAGGTGCCAGGAAAATCCGCGTCGAGGAAAAATCCGAATCGGAAAATTGTCTCGCTGTCGCCGACGTCGATCAAAAGCATTTCTTTCTCAATAAAGGCGGGTGAGTCAATTGTGGATCACCTTCATATATCATATCTTGTGAGTGAGGGCCTAGAATTCCTGATCTGCCCTATACAGTATGTCCTGGTATTGTTTTTACAAGAGGAAACACTTTTTTGTTAGCGTCATTTGGAGAAAAATGTATTGCTCATAAACATTTTTGATTGTTCTGAAATGGTTTATCCCGTTTATATTTTTCCAATTTTCCATACAGTGATAGAGATAATAAATTATCTCTATAACGGTATTAAATTCAATTAAAGAAAACATGAAAATATAGTTGAAAGTCCTAAACATCAAAACTCGTTTCTATAGTTAGGTATATATGTTCGTTTTCATCAGTTTTCATTCTTTGATAGATTGCATATAGATTGTTATTGATAGAATTCTAATTAACGTCATATTTTTTTGCTGTTTTAAAATGTTAAAGAAGCACACAATTTATTTGGTTCAAACGATACGGAAAGGATAATAATGGTTATCGGAACATGTGATACTTTAAGAACAGCAAAAAATATGACGCTAATCAAAATTAATAATAATCATTTATCAAGGAATGAATAATTTTCTCTAAAGCAGGATGGAAATTTGGAAAAGTTTAAACGGATTAACCGCTTTTGAAAAATGCATTTTTCTCAAAATGTCCACAATAAAAAAGTTTTACGTAGATCGCACGGATGGAATCGGATGGAAATGTCATCCCTTTTTTCTGTTAAATTAATCTCGTTCGGTCAATTCTTGTTTTCTTCCGCTTTCTTTTTTTTTGAGCCACAAAAGACCCTTGCTGTCACCTTGAAGATTATTTCTTATTTCTCTTGATGGCTAGCGATCAGAAAATGCTTGGTCTTGGTTTTGTAGTCTAAGGTTATCTTCATCTTTATCTTTAGTTTACAAAACTTGCTGAATTTTATACCTTCAAAAATTGGTAAATTAAATTTAATTATTTTTAAAATCTCTACCGTTTTATTTTATCTTTCTACTAATAAAAACTATTATCTTTCGTGTGATGTCTTTATTTTAACTATTCCAGTTGTTATATACGAGACGGTATACAAATTTTATTGGTGGCCTATTACAACTCTCTGAGTATACAGTATATACTTTTCACCTGATTTTCCCCCACTTAACTTAATAAAGAACAAAAGTAAAAATGCAAACCGAAATGCAAAAGCGATATCGCAAATGTTTGTCATTTTACAGAATGCTTTGTCATAATTTGACACAAATTCAAATACCTTTAATTTCACAGAAGAGTTTGAAAAGTTTCAAAAATTTTTAGTCGGGTTCATTTGCATCCGCATACGTGCGTCGATCATGGTTCCGTCACTCCAATCGTATTGAAGTATGTTCTGTCACTTTTGAAATAAACCAATAAGAGTGGTTAAAAACCACAAAAGATGACGCCATGGCGGATTTATATATAAACCCAGCTATAGTTAACACAAAACGTATTAGAAACTTTGTTTATTGAAATAAATGGATATTGGTATGGGCGCCATCTGCTTTTTCTCTATCATCGTCTGTCTAAATCTTCCCTGAGTCGTAAAACAGAGTATATTAATATCATATTAAACTGCTATTGTAACTCCGATGATTAAATTGCCCTAATACATATATTAAGCTTAACAAGAGCCTACTTGAATCTCTAGGAGGGACTTCACCATAAATATCCTACGTATTCATTTACTATATTTGTCACGTAGAAAACACAACGGAATAAGCATAATAAACTTATAACTTCTGACGTATTGCCATCCATTTTCAGTCGCCTGATTTCGTTCTTTGACAGCCTTTCTTCCTGTTTATCTTTTCTCTTGTTTCTGGCTGATTTAATTTGTTGCCTCTTCTCCTTTTTTATGTCTTTCCGTACGACAGGATGACTTCGTCGCAAGGGGAGCACAAAATAGCGGGCAGTAAAGCGTTTTATCGACGAATGGGAGAGGATCAAGATCAGCTCCTTATCAATGGACCTATAAAAGAAGACATTGTAATATTGGTAAGATTATCCGACTATATTTTGTAATGATTCGTGTAGTACAGCTCGTCAAATATAGGATGGTATTTAGCGATTTTGTAACGACTGAGTGAGGGCGTTTTGGCAGAAATAATCAAAAGATGTAAGAAAGTAGTTAATTATTATTCTTATACCTCTATCTCGTACAATAAATCCGGAAGTGACGTCATTATACTTCGTATTTTTGTTAGACACAATTTTTAAATTTTCTTTAACAATTTTTCGTTCATTGATTTCAAAGTCTAAAAAGCTGAAAAGACTTAGTGTCAGAACTCCAGTTATAGTGAGTTTACTATGAATCATAGGAAGAAAAAATTCTAAAATCGATACTTTTGTAGCGTGCAATGTTGATCATACTAAAAGTAGTAATACTAGTTAGTACATAATTATAGGTATAAAGCTTGATTTTCGTGCATTCGTTGTCCGACGATACGATAATACGATATTAACTTTATTGGTTGAATTTAAAGACTTGAATTGGTTAGAAAATTACGCAGTTTTTAAATTTATTACCATTTCATGCCTCCGTTCATAGAATATACAATTTGCTTGTGATTGGTATCATTTTATATTTTCATTTCCATAACGATTTTGCTGTTTTACTAATAGCCTAATAGCTAGCAACGTTTTCGAGAGAGAATTTTAAGAAAACTGGTTCTTTAATTTATCTTTTGCTATGCTCTCCTGAACAGAATGCTAGAATGCGCGTTTTTCTACGTAAACGTTTTTCTATAAAAATTAAGAAGAAAAACAATAAAAAATTACAATACGCAAGTATTTTACCGATAACGACTGCACTGTTCTCCAAGCTTGGCATACTACCGTTCTCAGACTCCAATGTTGTATCTGCATTCCTGAAATTCCTTTCGTAAATACAGATCCAGTAGACGTACTACAGCCATCTACAGCATTTGCTATACTTACAATTCTATCTTTATAGGCTTGGTGAATTCTCCGTCGGTGCTGCCACCATCAGAGAATATCGTAAACAATCGGTATATAAAACCAATCGGTATATAAAACCAATTCTAGGAGAATTTATATTAGAATTTGTTAAGCTGTCGTTGTCACAAGATAGTAAAATTTTGTGATCACATAAATAAGAAATCACATAAAATACACGAAAATGCGATACTCTGTACAGATGTGATGCGCAGTAGTGAACCGCAGTAAGTGCGGCCCGTCTACCGGCAGCCAGACGGGCCGCACTTGGTCAGGAGGGCATACCACAAGATATATTCATCTTGACCCCCATTTTATATCAAAACTTCATCTTCACATTTATTACTAATTTTCAAGCTCAGGAGCTTGGAATACCCTGAAAGGAAAGAAATTCTCCCCCCACTCACAGCGGATACAGACAGAAGATACCAAGAATGAACAACTTTGTATTAACTTCACTGTAATGAGCAAAAAAATTGAAAGGAAGAGGGATTGGAGGAGAAACGTTTGCTTAGCAGGCAAAAGACCATAGCAAAATACACATAACAACTTTGAGATACACCTCACTGTAGTATTGAGCAATAAAAATGATTGGAAGTGCAAAACCTTTGCCCAGCAGGTAAAAGGCCATACCAAAAGGTGGGGTTAGTGATGCAGTTGGGGTTAGAACTTTTACTATTACAACACCAAAATAAAAGACTAATTTACCACAATACACCTGCTAAGGAATATTATCGAGAAATTGGCATATCATCCAATATTTGACGAGTTGCGCCTATTTATCTGTTTATTATTGCATTTAATCCTTTAAACTGATGATTAAAATTTACCTTCATTCCACTCCGTTTTAAAATGCCGTTAAGTTGAAATTGAAGAAATTATCTCCTGAGCTTTCAATGCTTAAAATACAGTTAACTTTAATGCCATATAATAAAAGTTAGAGGCTATTTTGTAAAGTTATAAAGTTTAAACTTTTAACTAAATATTTTTGTGATTTTTAACCCTGCGTTATAGAGACATTACGCGAGTAAATGTATACAATTTACGAAAACAAGTAAAATGTATGGTCATTTAATTATTATTTTTGTAGTATTTATATTATCAAAGCGAAAATGTGGGAGTGGACTACAGTTGGGTGGAAGGAGAAGTTGACACTAACTATGAACCAAAATATAGCTGGGAAATAGGTAATTAGTAACTAAAAGAGTGTGTCTTTTTAAATACATTTAAATATGTTAATTGGTAATTAAAGTGAATGTTCATGCCTGATATTATTAAATTCATAACATAGGAAACATTTTCTACAAAATATTTATTTTTATCCATAATAATGTTTATCAGTTCCTGGATACAAGACCCTTTAGTGTTGCAGCAATGATAAAAAAATATAGAAAACAACTTCAAAAACTAACTAATTAATTATTACTTAATTTTAAATTACACACGAGACATCTTAGACAACTCTTAAGAATAAAATGGTTCCATCATGTCTTAAACGTATCGGTCCTTGAAAAAGCTAACTGCGAGAGTATTGAAGTCATGATTACAAAGTCCCGCTTAAGATGGGCTGGTCACGTATGCAGAATGCAAGAAAACCGCATACTAAAATCTCTGCTTTACGGTGAGCTTGTAGACGGTAAGAGGAGGCCGGGTGGACAACTCAAAAGGTTCAAGGATATTTTCCACGAAAACTTAAAGGGAATTAACAAGCGGAATGAGTGGGAAGAGGCAGCTCACAATAGAACAGAATGGAGTAGAATTGTAAAGTCAGTTAAGAGCGACAACCAAAAAGTAAAGAGGCAACAAAACAATGACATTTTTGAATGTCTGGAGTGCGGTAGTCAGATAACATCACGTATCGGGCTTTTCAGTCACAGAAAAGCTCATGATAGAAAACGCCTTGCGTGGCCATCTTCTGATGCGTGTCAAATACTCGTCAGCGAGTAATGGCAGTATGTATGTATGTATGTAATTTAATGTCCGAAATACATTGTAAATGTCCGAAAATACATTGCTTACCGATCATGTAGATCCCGGGTGCGTCGCAAAAGTGGCTCACCCTCTATAACTTCAATCACATTCAATTGTTTTCAGTCACTTCCTGTTTCACCGAAAGTGACTACAACTTTTGGTTTTTAAATGGCGCCCTCGATATTTTTTTACTTTATCCGATAAAAATTGACAGTCTGAATAGAATGACATATGAAGATACTTCTTGACATTTACACTTTAAAAAAATCGTATTTTAAATCTCAATATAGAGTGCCATGGCTGTGCTAGAAACACTAATTTTTAATCAAGGACCCTTGGAAAAATAGTCGTCAGCGAGTTTTTGATCGTCTAATGTTTTATGTGTCTTATCCTGATCGGTTAAAAGATGCTCAAATTGTATTTTTAATCATATCTCAATTTTTTTAAATGGAACGAGAGTGGTTCATTAGCATATTTAGAAAAAGCATTTTTTACGAATAATTTGGTACCACACACTTGGTATTTCTAGTCAAGTTGTCATATGAAATGTCATTCTATTCAGAGTGTCATTTTCTACCGAATAAAGTAGAAATGTAACGAAGACATTTAAAAATCAAAAGTTGTAGTTGTTTCCGGTGAAACAGGAAGTGACCAATAACAATTTAATTAAATATATTCTTCTTACCGTACCAGGCTCTATTCAGAGCGTCGGCTACCTCTCGCATGTACTTGTGATGTGTCATCGGTGTTTCACAAGTACACCGGACCTACAGTTTATCGCCGAATCCGAACGGCACTATTTGGGAGGCTGTACAAGGCAAATATACTCAAGGTAGTTTGCCAGTGCCTTCCTTGAGGTGGCGGCTCGCTGGTCGCTCTATTTAAATAAATCAATATTTAAAAAAAAATCAATATTTTTATTTAAATAAATAAAGCGACCGTACTGGTTGGGGATCGAACCCAGTACCATCCCATCTCTCGCACCGCAGATCGACTCACTACTGCTTGAGCTACGGCCGCACTAAATACTATCACTAAATAATTAAAGATAAAAAATAAAAAATAAAGAAATTATAGGGGTGAGGCACTTTTGAGATGCACCCGGTATACTGTATAACAAGATATACGTTTATAATTATTAAAGACATCTTTTTAGCAGCAACTGCAGTGACAAATTAGTATTGGTATATTCTTAATATTCGACATTAACCTTAACTTTAAAATCATGTTTGCACAAAAACTTAAGTTTCAGTGTTATTGCTATTTTTCTGTATTTTTTATTACTTTAATTTATTTAAGGTCTAGACGACTCGCTATTTCAAATAACATTTAAAGGTCTAGACACTTCGCCAACGAGAAATTTTTAATTTGTGGTCTTATTTGGATCTGTTTGTGTTAACAGAAGCCAAGTGTATTGAGTTTTAAATGAAATTAGAATTTTTTAAATTTCTTCTTATTCGTCTTCATTCTTTTAATTCGTAAGATAAAAAGAAAGGTGTAACTTAAAGAAGAAATTAGGATGAGTATTTATACCTTCAGTTTGGGTCCTTCTCCAATCTTCCGATATGTATTTGAAATCTTCATCAAGAACTTTATCAACAATATCTTGTTCTCTACGAGATATTCGCTATTGTTACTTTTCAAATTGTCACCTTTGATATACATATTTGTTGAGTGGACTTTAATATAAGGAACCAGCTGGACCCGGCTAACTTCGTACCTGTAATAGTGAAGTGAAGTTAATTGAGGTGAGAGCTTTTTGTCAACCTTGGTGGTACGGATAACTGATTGATTGAATGATCTGGAATAATTGAGATCAGTCAATCCGACTGTCGTTGGCATTTCTTCTCAATATTTGCGTATGCATTTCGATTCAAGTATTACCTATATTATTTTAATATGCCATTTTCCGTTAAATTTGTATTCTATAATGTCTAGTAAGTCATTGATTTGCAGTGTACATGAATTATTATTTAAGCTAAAAGTTAATTTATTACATAAGCTATAAATTACGTAAACTAAAAGCGTGCGTGACCTGAGAAATTAATTTAAATATTAATTTTCTGTATATGTTTTTTCCGTGATGTTATTCGAAATTTTAATAGATATTCTTCTATTCAGAGTCATTATTTACATTTAAACGTGACCCAGTCGTCACGTGACGAACATGGAGCATTCTAGACGCAATTTGCCACAATGTCAACTTTTATGCACCCTCCTATTTTAGGGATATAGTAGTGTACTGAATATAGAGTCCCAAAATATTGAAAAACTGTGTTCAACAATCTTACTGTGGTCCATTTATCTATTACAGCTGAGGAAACACTAATTTTCATTACAGCAGCGGAAATCCCTGGCAAGCCTCTTTATTCGCATTCGTATGGAGGAAATATATCTTTGGTATAGACGTGCATTCGTAGCGATTATAGGGTGCGACGAATGGGATTAGCGCTAACAAATGTAAAAAAATTGTGTGTGCTTTATGTGCGTATATTAGAATCGAAACTTCTTTTTACTTCCGTGTGTCTGTCCGTCTGAGGATTCCATTCGGGTACCTCTATCCACGTGCCAAGTTTGGTTCCAATCGACCCATAATTAAGAAAAATCTTGATAATTTCGTCCATTTAGAGGTCGGTTCGCAACTTCGAGGACATCACATGTATCCCGTCACCAATTATGCCGAAATTGATTTATCTTCAATACCAAATCCTTAGTCCCACCCTGATGAAGATGTAAACGAAATATCGTATTGAACTTTGCAGAGTGGGACCGTGTGCACCGTTGTCGCTGACATAGCCTAGTCACCAAATTTGGTCGCGATCCGGCAACAATTTGTCACGTTTCTTACCTCAAAACTAACTGACACAGTGACACGTGTCGTACACGGTAAAGTTGGCCTCGGTCCAATCTATCGACATACCAAACTTCATTTAAATCGTACGATTCTTGATTTGATTCATTGATTATGAGGTTTTGTAGTGCACGAAACGTCGTCAAAATATCACGAAAATATTGTGTTTTTCGAGCCCTATCTACATTCCGAGTTTCAGCACCCTAGCTGACATAGGGCCCGAGTTACGACACTCCAAGGAGCCATCTCAACTTCCTCATTGGCTTACCACTTTTTCGATCGTTACTACTTTTTCTGACGCTAGTTCGTTTGTTACGGCTTTGAAATTTTAATCCAAGCCCGCGTAAAGATGTTTCACTTCAAAAAAGTAAAGTATTTTAAGAATTATATTTCTCCGAACGAAGAGCGTGTTTTAAAAATAAAACTTTATTGAGAAGGTAGGTAATGCAGTACTAAAAGTTAACACAGGATCGTGAACAAGATTGATTCTATATAGGGATTACAAGCTTTTATATATAATTTAATGTTAACATAAGCATAAAACTATTCTAGAATATGGGTGGCTTCGTTGGCAGCTTCCATTCATGGGATGCCCATAACTCCTCCCACCGAAGACGAAAACAACGGGGCTCGCTTGTTTTCGAAGTCCTGAAAGGGATATCTTCTTTCTTGACTTCTTCTGTCTTCTTTTGTGATAACTTCAACCGAATTTGTCTTCTTAGTTTCCATAAAATTATTATAATCAAAGTTACAATAATTAATAGTATAGTTGTGGTGGAACTCCAAGCTATGGTATGGATTGGGTTGACCACGATTGGTTTTAATTGGTTTGCCTTTTCTTCTAGGTTTTTAATATGATGTAGATCAATTGATTGGATCTTGATCTTTTCTTCAAATTTTTCTTTGGTAATTTCATCAAAGGTAATCTTTGGTAAGATGAAGGGATTTCCTTTGATTATATTTTCAGTATTCCAATATGTATTTTGAAGTATTTGAACTCCACAATTAAAAGGTACACTAACTAAACTTGGTTTAGTAATTAAGTGGTACTCTTGATTCTTACAAGTTTTTAATATTTGTAAGTCTTTTCGGCTTGGTATCACAATTATGTAATTGTTGTTTATCATTTCAATTATTGGTTGTTCTGGTACAGCCATTGTTAATTGACAATTTTGGGTCTCCACTCCTTGGATTAAGTTGATTGAACATTCATTTGTGATGGGTTGAAGATCGTTGTGGCAAATAAAGATGTTTTCAACCATCGGACATTCTTCAGGTAAATATTCTTGCATATGATGGCCCAGTACAAGGTAGGGTTGTTTAGGAATTATAATGGTATTATTTATAGGAATGGGAAATAAATGG